GCAGTATTTTAGGATCCAGCAGAAATCCGGGTCTCTTCCGGAGGGGGGGAGAAGAAAAAGGAGGCGGCGGCAGGTCCGCCCCGAGCGCGGCCGCTTCCCCGGCGGTGTTTGTGCAAGTTTATCTCCCCGGCACCAGGGGCGCTGACGCAAATCCGCCCTGCCCGCGCCCCCGGCCCCCGGCCCCGGGGGGAGAGGGCACCGCGGGAGGGCTGGCCCTGTCCCCCTCCGTGCCCATGAACCGCCCCCCGGGGGGGTGGGGGGGGGCCCCCTGACACACGCGAGAAACCTCTAACACGCGGTAGACAGACAGACAGAGAGAGACACACACACACACACAGACAAACATAGATAGATAGATAGATAGATAGATAGATAGATAGATAGATAGATAGATGACACTGTAGCGGACAGAGAGGCCGCTGGCATCGCTACAGCCGTGCTGAGCCCTGCGAGCGCCTGCCGGGCTGCTCCCTGGTAGTCCTCGTGCCACTAGACAGATGGATGGCACTGCCCAGGCCATCCTCCCCGATTAATGACACTCGTAACAACACCACTGCAGTAATAACAATCACAGCAATAATAGAAATAATAACAATAATAAACAATAGCCACAATAACAGCAATAATAATAATAATAATAATAGCGATAACAGCAATAATAATAGTAATAGCAGCAATAATGATGATGATAATAAGCCTAATGGTGGGGATAATATAACAACAGCAATAATAATGATAGCAATACTAACGCTGGTGGTGCTAATAATGCCGATAATGACAGCAATGACAACCATCGTAATCACGATAATAGTAACTGCAACAATCGTATCAGTAACAGCATCAACAATAATAATATCGATAACATCCTCTGCAATGATAATATCAATGTCATCATCAACAGTGATAACCATCCATAACATCAGCATCAGCGACGTCACCAGCAGTAACAGTAACATTCACGCGGAGAACAACACTACAGCAATGCCCCCGCTCCCCGAGCCACACTAGCGATAAGGATGGTGGTGACGCTTGACGCCCCTGGGTGCGAGGGGCCCCCTCCCCTCCGTGCCTGCCCGGCGCGGGCACAGCAAGCCCCGGGGCTCCGGCGCCACTTCTGCTCAGTAATAAACAGTGATTCCGGCTGATTCTTCCTGTTTGCGAAGCTGCGCTCTTGCATCAGAGGCTGCTGCTCCGTTTGTTGCTTTGCCCAAGCGGGGTTTAAAACACCCTTTGAAGTGTCTTGATTACTCAGTCCCGATGGGTCGCCTTGCCGGAATGACCTTCTGTGCAATAAGCACCGCAGCTTTCTCCTCCTGGCCGAGCTTCAGCAACCGGCTGCAACCAGCCCCTGCCAGGGCCTGGGGTACAGTTGCCCCCTTACCCCTTGCTCTCCAGAATCTGACCCCCCTCTAGCTAAGCCTCCGGGCTTCAAAGGGCTCAGTTACTCTGCATGTTTCATGAATGCAACCCCCAAGTCTGAGGGCCCCGTGCTTTATTAAGTGTCCTTAAGATTTTGTTGAGTTTCTAGTCGAAATGCTTCAGCATCTCTTACAAAGCGAAGCCAGCTGGGGAAGTCAGACATAAGCCAGCAGCACCCGGGTGCACTAATTAGCGTTCTTGTTGAGGTTGTTATTAGCACACCAAAAAATGATTCCGAGATCATCCTGGCTGGGACCCTGTTGCTGGTATTAGGAAAACGACTTTTGCTTCAACACGACAGCAGAGGGTTGCCTTGCCTCTCTCATCCTGGCTTAGCTTTCGGATCCAGAGACCAGGGGCTCTCCCTGTTCTCTGGCGACACCTGCCGAGGAGTTATTAAAACTAACAGTTCCAAGACACCCATGCAGTGTTTCACTACTTGCCGAAAGAGAAGGTTTCTAAAATTGGCTTTGACAAGCACCTGCTTCCTGAGCAAGAACAACACTTAAAAGGGCATTTCCTGACTTTCTAAACAGTCCACATAGGGTAAAGTCCTTTGATTCTTATATCAGAATCCGGTTGATGAAAGATATTAGGATCATTGTCAGAGCTGAGTTTATGTCGGATTATTATTAGCTGGGGGACAGATTTCAAGTACAGATAGCTTGCTATAAACCTCTTTGCCCAAATGTAATCACCCTGTGGAAGCAAGGAGCTGGTGTTTCCAGTGATTTAAGGAAAGCAAATGAGTATAACTGAGTGATTAGACAAGGCTCAGCCTTAAAAATATCTGTAGGAGAGTTTGCAACCTGGGCTGGAGATCATAATTGGTCTGATTTTCCTCCCAATCTCACCAGTCTCAGTTGTGCACCATTCTTGTCATTGCATCTGAGCTAGATGCAATACTTTTGCCCTATTGCATCTAATGCAAAACAGGACAGACCAAAGCCGTTTCTGCAACAGGAACAAGGCCACAGGAACAGTGGCTAGTGATGAGAACAGAATATTATCTGCCTTGTTTCTAGAAACAGAATATGTCATGCGTTAACTGTTAGTTAGGGAAGAGTGAAGAGGCTGTTAGCCATATTTTCTCAGACTGCAAGTGAATGGAGTGGCTGAGAAAGTCCCTTTGACCTTTCCTTCTCATTGTTTGATATAATCGTTTATTAATTATCAGTTGCCAATAAATACTTCTATTATTTATTCCATTATCATTTATTTGTTGAACCTACTGGAGAGCTCTGTGCTAACCAGAACACAGAAAAAGACATGATCACAGTAAAAAATGGACTTATATGTCTATCACTTGTGCAAGAGGCAAGGATTTGTTAGGGTGATACCTTTTACTGGACCAACTATGTAGTTAGGGTAGAGTTCAACAATCTTTCAAATGCAAGACATTCTTCATCAGGGTGCTTTGTCAGATCATCTGATGAAAAATGTATTGCATTTGTAAGCTTGTTGAACTCTGTCCCAACTACTTAGTTGGTCCAATAAAAGACATCACCTTAAGAAATCCTTGCCTCTTGCACAATTTCTGGACCATCATGGCTACAGCATCTCTCTTACACTACCATAACTATCACTTAGGCATCTAAGTCCAAAATTTAGATTCTTAAAACCCTCTCAGCTGCTTCCTAATGCTGGAAGCACCTGAAATTTACAGGTGCTTAGGTTTCTGAAATTAAAGTTCCCAGGGCACCTAATATTCTGGCATGCCCCTCTTGGCAGTATTGACCAGCTTTTACCTAAGCTCTCCCCGGGCTCACAAATTAAGTGATTCTCCCCTTACCTTCCCTGCAGGGTTCAATCCAAATAGGCAATCTCAGAGCAAGCCTAATGATCAGGCTCTGCACAAAAAAGCAACTTTTTTCCCATTTACCAATAGCTCAGTGACCAGAGCGCTTGTCCTTGTTGTGGGAACCAAAGATTTAATTCCATATTCTGGAAAAGAAGATTTGAATCTATAGGTTCCAACTCCAAAAAGAGTGCCCTCATCATCACCAGGTTCTCAGGAATTCTGCGGTGGGGGTGGTATTAATCGTGAAATACTCTGATTCTTTCCCCTTGAAGGTGTTTTACTTTTTTCATGGTATAATTAAAGATTTGCAGTGTAGAGGACAGAACAATTCTTCAGCCTGCTGTTGGGGTCATACAGCTGAGAAAGAGCCAACCCACATTTCAATCTTTGGTACACCGAGTATAAACTGGAATCTATCTTTGTCCCCCTCCAAGGAGAATATCTCAAATATTAAGCCTACACCTGCTCATTCATGCATGTCTCCCTCTCTCTCTGGCCCAATAAAAATATAATTATTCCACTAGGATGGAATGAGGGTGGTACCCCTGAAGAGCTCCCTAAAGCTTGACAGCTATGGAGTTCTTGTGGGAGATGTGGATTCAAATCCCCTCAGCCAGAGAACGGATTTGAACCCACATCTTCCTCATCCACCCACTGAAGCACTGGATAAAAGGGGGACCCCCACCTCCTTCTCTGTGTTTTCAAATAAAGGACTAACCTCTCCATGGCATCTAGCCTCTGGTAATGTCTCATAGCCTAACCAGAGATACATCTCTCAGCCACAGGGGCCTGAGACTACTTCTGTTTACACCATTAGAACTCCACTGACTTCAATGGAGTTACTCTCCATGTGAGAGAGCATCATGACCATAAGTAGCAGGCAAGCCCCATGAAGAGGGAATTTTCACCACTGCAGAGTGATGATTTTATAGATCCATTAATATGTTGGTAGATAAGATATATTAGGCACATACTGGCTGGGTTTCTTGGTAAAATAGATTTAAAACAACATGATTCACAAAATTGCTGACATGTTGTTTTGCAGAACTGAGATAGAAATGGAATGGACACACATTTCAGGGCAGATTCCAAGACATGCCATTTTACAGCAGCTGAAAAAAAGTATCTGTGCATAAATAGTAGGCTAGAGTTCCCAAATGTCTTTAAATGTCTTGTAAAATGGTTCATGAAAATTCTCACAGTTTCACTGAAGCTGACGATTTGCCGAGAATATGCCCCATGGAGCTTCAGTGAAAGTAGCACAACGAGTTAGTGGTACAGGTGGGAGTGGAGCTCAGGGAGCCAGGGAGTGGACTCCTGACTCCCAATCCTTTAGCTTTGCAGCAAGGCTTACTAGGACCCATTCACCACTGCAGTCCTATAGTCCTATGCCAATGAAACCTCATCCATGTCAGTGGAACTGAACCAGTCATGCAATAATAAATTAGGTCCATGACCTCTCTAGCAGCAGCACATTAAATTCAGTGTGCAGAAAAGCCATTCAATATTGAAGGAGGAAATACTACTAACTGCATAATAAAACTTTCAGTAAGAAGCAGCTTCCTACTTTTTGCCAACAGCAGTAGAAAAAAACACGTGGGGAGGTTGGCAATAAAGCTTTCCAAACACATAGCTATATAAAAAGCAAAATCAAACCATGAAGGAAGTCAGGGTTCTAGAAGAAAATTACTCTATAAAACTCATCTGGATTTAAAAACATTTATTGTTTTTCTTCCAACCCACCTTTCATATACAGATTTGGATTTATGTAATGTATATATATACATCAGTCTCAGTGAGTTTTGACGCCAAATATTTCTCTCTCATTAACATATTTAAAAATCTCAACTGAATAATGATATCAGATCTTTTGAATGTCACATTTTAACCCAATTTAGCCATGGGAGAAACTTCCTGGCAAATACAATATTGAACTGCCAATCAAGGAAGTTTTGTGAACCAATAAATCAGCTAGTGTCACACATATGCAATGCCCTCTGGGACTGACTTCTTCACTGAGATGGAATCTGTGGTAAATATGGCTCAGCAACCATTTACTACCTTGTCCTCAGCTCTCTAGACAGCTAGCCATTTTCTCTTGGCAAACTCCACTAGGTCTTTGAACACAAGTCTTCTCACTGCTAAATCACTAAGAGGCTGGGGAAAAGGCTCAGCCTCAATATGCTCTTGGATTTCTGTGCCTTTAAATGGCTAGCAGCTTGTCTGACATTCTCTCAGCTTCTCCCAGTTACTGTGAATTCCATGGATCCCACGCTTTGGAAGGGGGAACATAGGAATTGCTGCACCATTGGTCTGGGATCCTGCCTATGGAAATATCCATTACTTGGTGCTTCCGACACATGGAAAAAAAAACATGACATGCGCAACCAGTTGTGCAATGCAGTACATGAGGGAAATCACTCTCTGCTAATACCAACATATGCAAGCTGATATCTTGATGTACAAGATCTGATTATCTTTATCTTACCAGAATATTATAATGGTGGTAAAATAACTGCATTCTCATTTCCTGCACAAAATCCATCTAAAGCACCTAGCTAATGCTCCTGCAGCAGTGAATTCCATAGGTTTCCCTTTTTGTCTTCAAGACATAGTACTGTGCTTCCTTTCACTTGTTGCGAAGCATGCCTTCCTGGGGTGTGCATTTGTCCTGGTATAATCACACAGAACAAAAAAAGAAGGAACAATCTGTTTTTACTTTCCCCTTCCTAAGCA